CTAACTCGAATTCAATGGAACATGTGTTGCCAACACTGCTGTCCACCAACAGTGCCTAACCATTTTGCCAGAGCTTGAGCAAGTTTGCAAAGAATAGGTGATAATTACACCACCCCAACGTGCAAAGCTGGTAATGTACTTATCCATAAACACTCTAATATATAATTGTAGCCGAAGATATTTCCAAAAATTATTGACTGGGGGGGCTGAATATTTAACATATTTTAGCTTATTATGTTTTTTGCAGGTGTTCGTTTAAATTAAGCTTCTATTACCCCATAAAAATGTATAGTTTGACCGTTCAAGTTTAGTTTAACAATATCCACTTTAAAACTGTGTATACATTTGTAAATTCACCCAAATGGGACATGATTAGAGGTGGGTGAATGCTGTCGCAATGTTCTGTATTTCCAGCAAAAATGCTGTAGTATACAGTAAGCAAGAGGCAAAGAAGTCTGCCACCAGCACCACATATTAGGTCATTTCCTCAGCTACTGCCAGTACTAATGTAAGTAGTGCAGTGCTTTATTACCGTAAGTTTCCTTGCAAATCTCTGAGGTGACAAACAATTCTATTGCAGGAAAAGTGGGTCACAGGCTAGGGTCAAGTTACAGAGTAGCTTTAAAATTACATATGGGCAAAAGCAAAATTGGGAAAACTGAAATGGAACTATAGAATATATATTGCAGAAATAAAACCCTTTTACCCAGACAGAAATATAATACAAAAAGAAGCTTTATGAAATCCCTTATTTGATACGAGAAAGTGTCTTAAAACTTTTCCAAATGAAATTGCTGTCTACCTGTTGCAGTGTACTTTATCAAACTAAGAACTTCTTTTTGTAAAGGGTTGTGGGACTGTGGAACAAGCTACCCAACTATGCTTGTTGAAGCCAATATCCTGGCTTCTTTCAAGAAACAGCTGGATGAGATCCATGAGTCAATTAACTACCAAAGAGGCTAGATGGGATAAAACTTTCTCATTTATATCATTTATTTTTAGTTTACTTACAGCTGGGTCTTTTTAGGTCTAGTATGCTATGCAGACTGGAATATAAGTACCCCTGAGTGTGTGCTTCACATTTACGAGCATTGGCCAGAGAAAAACCAAAACACGACCTTAACTTTATCCTATTTAGCACCTCTACAATGAGATTGTCTTTACACATGAGGTAATATTGGAAAAAAACACTTTTGTTATTGATTATTTTGGCGATTTGTTATATACTGTGTTACACTGCAGCTGCAACAATACCTTCCTTTTTAGTGTAAAAACTGGGTGCAGTTTCATGGAGGAGATCCTGGTGGTAGTGCACCAGACAAAATACAACAACATGCAGCACTGGTGTTGTAATACAATAGTTTTAGACACAGAATCATTAGTCTCAGAGTAAATAAATGTAGTGTTCTTTCCAGCATGTAAAGTTCCAACAAATTGAATAATTACAATGCTTTTTAATATTTAATAATATGGGGGGCTTTGTTCTGGCTTTAATTGTTTTTAAAACAATTTTGGTTTTAATTTGAGTTTGTGAGTTGGGTTTTTATTTACATAGTGCCTTCATATATCATGAATTAAAAATTTCACGTTTCACAAGGAAATGATGTAGAATATGTTTTCACCTAATTAATGAAATGATGACACACACAAAATGAGCCCCGGAACATATAATACATCACTGAGAAAACAAAATTAAGAAAGGTATCCACTTCCATCACACAAGCAATGTTTGAATTAGAGGAAAGCCTTTTCGATTAATAGAATAATACAGCACATTACACAAGGGGTCTCAGACGACCTGATGTCATAGACAACCTCAAGGCTATTTATGGGAGCTGAGTCGGACTGAAAACTTCTTCACCAACGTCATGAGTGATCTCACACAGTTATTAATGGATGCTTAGTCTTTATGAATGGCTCCTCACCAGAATACTTTCCTGAGCAAACGGAGGAATGAAAAACATGGGAGTATTTGTGGAACAGGGGTATGTATGGTATGAAAAAAAACCTCAACAGGGAATTCTTACATGATATTCTCCCTAAAACCATTGCACGGTCCAGGCCATCCCCATGCAAGTGAAGCCTTTATGACTCAAGCCTGCTCTTCACAGGATGAGTTGATTGAAAGAAATGGATCTATGAACAGAATCAGATTAGCTGCTTATAAACATAATACAGTGAATGCTCGATGGATAAGAATAAGAAGACATACAGTAACCTAACAGAACTAACCAGGTGTGTTAATGTAATACAGTGTTTAAAGAGCATAGACCTAGTTATTAAACCGAGTTTATTATACAGTACAAAACATAAGTATAATCCAACTATATACTAAAAAAGGACACATCATAACATAATGTGCTCTACTCATTGCTACCAATAAGATGTAGTTTTTTATTTTGAAGTCCAACATCAACTTATTAGAATTCAGCATATTTGATGACAAGCTCATTTAAGCTATAAACAACTCCAAATTAAGCTACCCATAAAAAAGGTCTAACCTCTTTTTCTTGCATTAAAGGCACTATGTACATTATTATATTCTGATATGGTAACAGATAGATTTGATAGATCAAATACTTGATGTTCTGGAAGCAGAGGAGACAGGGAGACTGGGATAGTCTGGGATCAGAGATAAGGCAGAGACTGGGATCATGTAAGGCAGAGACTGGGACCTGTGTTAGGACAGAGACTGGGATCTGTGTTAGGGCAGAGACTGGGACCTGTGTTAGGGCAGAGACTGGGTTCTGTGTTGAAGCTGAGACTGGGATCGTGTTATGGCAAACACTGGGACCTGAGTTTGGGCAGAGTTCTCCTGCTGCCAGGCTAGTCTCATTGATGGGGCCCAGGAAGTGAGAGGTAAAGACTGAATACGTAGTGGAAGATTCATCACATTACACAGGTTCCACACCAGCACTCACTAACTCTGTAAGCCTGATGTGATGCAACGAGTTCGACTAGAGTCTCTGAACAGCACTTGACTGTATTATTTCATGTGACTATATCTGCATTTCCCTCATAAATCCTTAGAACCTAGAACCTCTAGAAACCTCTAGGTGCTAAGACACTTAGACCACAATATTTTGTGCGGTCAACAAGAGATATAAATTATATGATGAAACTGAAATGTAAGTATTGATGCTTAATCGTTCTCTATTAATTACCCGTTTGACCTTTTCTGCATTCTCTTGAAGCCATTTACCTGTTTAAAAAGAAGTTTTTTTTTATTAAATGTAAGCTGTTATGTCTCATTTGTGTATAAGAATATGCAATAATATTTTTTGAAAATAATCATTTTTTTAATTAGAAAGTTTAAAACTGCCTGTGAGATGTACCAAAGTTTAAAACCTTTTCTCACCGTGCCATCTTACTTGATATGCTAACTTAAGCTCAAACATCTCTTCTTGACTCCCTTCATTAGAACAGAAAACACTACAGTTGTCATGATGAAACATATGACTTATCACATGAGTTTGATGTCTTCTAAATGCAAGCTACACACAAAGCTTCTGTTCACACCCAGTGAATGGTCCATCAGCATGTAGCATGCAGCAGGCAGCTGTCTGGGCAATCATGTGACTCTGTCTCAAAAGCCCACACCAGCCAGCTGATACTGTAACAGCCTCAGTGCTGTCACAAGACACAGCTAATGGTCCCAAAACTTTTGCAGAGGGACCACCCAACTAGTCCCTCTAGTCATAACATGGGAAACCCAAAACCAATAAGCAATGCTTGTATCAGGCAGTGTAATTCAATTAATCACTCAAATGGCATTTCTGATAAACAAGGCCCGTAGCACAAAAAAACAGATATTTAGACTTATACAGTAGAATGCCACTCTACAAATGATTGTATTAAAAACCTATTGTGCATTTTTCAGCATCTACATATGCAGCAGAGAAAACAGTGAGAGATCAAGAATTATTCACATGTGTGGAAGCAATATTGTTTAATGTTTCTATAAATCTCTTTTCCAGGTGAACACAGAAGTTGTAGATTTTCTATCTGACAAAACTTACTCAATTTCTATTGCTTCACATTCTCCGATACATTTATCAGTAATTTTGAAAATGTTCAAGTCTGTAGTAGTTTTCGTTTTAAAATATATCCTGCATTTTTCGGATGCTTTTTCCCTACACTTTTGCATAGTGAGACATCAACAATACAGTGTTGCAGAGAACCTGAACCCACAACCTTGTTATTACAAGAGTTCTAGCCTCTCTTGTGCCACAGACAAAAAAGTACATGAGTGGTTTGTGAATTTGGAAACACATCATTCTCACTTTTGCACTGATAAGGCTATTAATAGGAAACTGCCTACTGCCTTGTCTCTCTCACACCTGAAGAAGGCTCCACGGCCAAAACGTTGTGTTCTCTTTCTTCTTTTTTTCCGCATGGAATAAACCTATTACTTGTTCCTTATTAATAGGAAAACTGTCTGATACACCAGTTTCTGAAGTTAAAAAAAAAATTCAGAGGTCAACCCCTAATCTCACCCACTTTTGCATATGTCTGTATAAATATCATACTTCATATCCACCCCATCTTCACCCACATTCCACCTCCATGCCAGTAAAATGTATGTTGGGGGTCAGTCCTGACGGCTCCATCCATACAGATGAGTTATCATTCTCTTCAGCCAAGTGAGTCACCCCAGTAAAGCTCACTATTCGAACTGTGCCTTTTCTCCACCTGATTCAGGGTTTGCATGAACTGGAGTTATTTTAAATGACACGCCAACTGTCTCTGTGTGTCTGTGCACCACTTCACAGATGTTGAACATTGTAACAGAGCTAACCTGCCATTCTGATTCTGTGATGCAGGCTTTTAGTTCTAAAAAGTCTTTCATTATACGATGTATACAGTAAGTTGTTAAGGCACAATATCTACTCATCTATATGATCAGCTTTCAGATAATAAGCCTCATTTAGCTTTATTTACAGACTTACAGGTTCATAAAGGGGGTCTAATACATGAGTAATCCTAACTCAGAGCCTTACCTATCCAAGGCTGTGCTGGTGGGCATACTTCGTGCAAAGCCCCGGACTCCCATCTGCCTGAAGTAGGGAATGCACGAAAGATTGGCAGCAATAACAGCCACCGAGTCCGAGGGATTCACGAAAAATCCATTTTGCCCGAGGATCATGTACCGATCCTGCAAGGAGCAAAAGACAAACATGTCAAAGCCAGGATCATTTTCAAACTGCCTCACACCTTTAAATGAGGAAATGGCAAATGACAACCTTGTTCTCAGCCGCATAAAAATCTTGTTCCTTGGAAATCTGTACTCTACCTGAGCGAATATTTGGTTGAGCTTTGCAGTAAAAGGAAACTGGAGGCCTCCAACACAATTTTAAACAGGCTCTGTTTATGATACCTGCTCCACAACTACGCTAATTAAAAGCAGAGAGGAACAGCGGCTGGAAACTTTACAAACATGCTTTTTGTCTCCATCGAGTCCGCTGTGACATGATAATCGGCGTAGTTTAAGGTTTGATCAAGGCATCACGAATGTTGCCAAAGGGTTATTTCACATCCCACATTCAGGAAGAAAAATCCACCATACTTGTCCTAAGATCTTGGTATGAGGTCTGTTAATAACAATGCCTACAACATGTTAATGTACAAAACTTCTAGGCTTAGTAATAGCTGGAACAGAAAACCTGCATCAGTGCTGCAGGGAAAGGCTGTCTTGTGATGCCTGTTCTGAAAGTATAACGTAATGCTTGTGTTTGTTATGCCAGTTGCCAAGTCACAGAGGAAATTATCTACAGTTTGATTTCATCTCCATTCTCGCACTGATTTATGACCCAGGGTACGAGAATTAAAATATCAGACCAATTGTATTTATGTCATATTTAATTATGTAGAACAGAGTACACATGTTTCTTATGAGCATAGTGTGATTATTCATCCATACATTTTCTAACTGCTCTATCCAGCACAGGGCTGAGGGGGAGCCGGAGTCTATCCCAGCAAGCAACGGGCGCAAGGCAGAATGCCAGTCCATCGCAGGGCACACACAGATAGAAACACACACACACACGCGCACAAACTCACACCGGGGCCAATTTATATTCCCAGAAGCCAATTAACCAACCAGTTTGGACTGTGGGATGAAAGCTACGCGCCGGATGAAACCCAGACAAGCACGAGGAGAACATATAAACTCCACGCAAATAGCACCGCAGGCATTAAACCCAGAGTTGTGTAATAATAATACATTTTAAATATGTTAAAACTGCAAATTCCATGCAAATAGCACCCCAGGAAGTAAACCCAGGGAACTGTAATAATACACATTTAAAATATGTTAAAAATTATTTTTCCAGTATCAACATTGATTACTGAATCTGACACCAACATGATGGGAGAAACATATTTTTTTAAAGCAAAACATCAGTGCAAGACATAATGTCATTCAACAGCCCAAAATAAGGAGTCCTTGTGTTCATTTCCATAGTTCATTTCAGTAAATTACCTTTTAACTGGATGCTAACATTGGTTTTCAAATATGTTTGCATAAAGTTTTTATATGAAAGACATATGAAATTACAATTATTAGTAATTTTGGAATATTTATCATTTCCAATTGAGGTTTAGAAAAATGATTGGTCTCACACTCAAAAGCAGGACAGGGTCCACAGTATTTCATTTCAAAGATTAATTTATTCATTTGATTTCTTTGCACAGAAAATAATAGAACGATGCATTTCAACACAACAATATTGTCTTCCACAATGATGATCACTTGAACAACCATTTGTGTGTATGACTAAACTGAATAATCATTAACAAAAATGAATCAATGTTTTTAAAATTCCCTAATTAAAATGTGTATAATAAGTATAGATTTTTAAACTTTCTTCACATTTTTCAGTATAGAGAACAATCTTGTCCTGTTTTGAGTGTGAGAACATATCTGCCTATTGGAGCTTAAGCTCACAAATGATAAAGTCAGTCTACGTACCGAAGAAACAAATGTTAGACCATACAGACTTCTTTTTTATTAATATCCCTTATATTAGCCACATTTTCAAAAAAATCAAGCATGCCAAAGACATGGTTTCCCTTTCTATACAGAATGCAACAGAAATGAAGAAGGCAGAAGGGTGATATTTACCCCATCTCCATCCAACGCTGCACCCAAGCCGAACTCCCCACCCTTCATAGCTTCCACCAGCGAGGCTGCGTATGGGAGGCTGGGGTCCGGATACTGGCCCCCAAAGTCCTCCAGGGGCACACAGCTGACAGCAGAGTTCGCCGGGGCGCCCAGCTCATCACACAGAATTCTTCTCACGTAAGGCCCCATCACTGGAACCACAAGCAATACAGCAACTCCCAGGTTACAATTACCGCTACTTCCTAAGATAACGCAACTCTGTACTGAGATCCTGTGCCTGCATGACAGACGCAGGGAACATTTCCGGAAGCACTCAATGTTAGAGCTGTAAAGAACTGTTCCTGACTGATCTCCACACAGTCGGGCCAACTCTTTAAAGAAAAGATGAAAAAATGAGGGTATGTTACATTATTAAGTAAAAAATGTAAGAAAGCATACCTATTCAACGTCCTTGAAAGAATGAGGGAAAGACACTTCAATACAAAAATGCAGTAGCTATGAATAATGTCTTAATCTAAAACATACCTGCTTTCATAATATCATAATATTATGTATACTGTATAATACCATACATTATCAGTTTCATAATATATTGAAAATTCAACTGATTTCAGCATTTATGTAGGCCAATCATTTAACTAAGCCACTTTTAAATCCCCATTGAAACATACTGCAAATATTTCAAACACACTGTCCTGTCATAGAATTGATCCGATTACCTCCATTCATTGCATCGATCCTAATTTTCAGTTGATCAGGTCCAGTCAGAAGCCCTTTGATGGCACTGAAATCAAAAATACTGCGCAGCATGTTGAGGTAAATCTCCACTGAATCCACAATCTCCACTGAAATCAAGCAGAGTCAGACAACACCAGATAAATAAGCAACTGAAATTAAAAAAACACAAACATAATCGGAGAGTAATCATTAAGTACACATATAGCAATAACGGTTAAAGTATTTTCATCATCATCATCATCATCGTTGTTTTTGTTGTTGTTGTGATGCTTTCAAAGTGTTCAGAATAAATACAGATACCAGAAATCAAATATCTATGTACTGCGGCATTACACAGTATTCTGAGTCTATTAACAAAATGGGTATTTGCACTAAACCTTTGCATATTTCTGATAATGTTTCCACATTCTATAGCCACTTTCAGCACAGCACAGAACGTCTACACCCATACTGACATGGACATTCATTTTAAAATTTGTAACAGTGGGATTAAATAACCCTGTACTAGGTCTAAACTGCAATTAATCTTGTTTGCTTTTCAACAATATTGATGTATTTCTAAAAAAATAATCTGTATAACCAATCAAGGGCTGTAAAGCTTAAATAAATAAAGAACTGTCAAGAATAGGAGAAAAAATCCCATTTGTTTTGATTAACAAGAAGAATACCTTGGAAATGTCCCAAAGATATAAAAATAGTTCATATACTCCTATATTAAAATAGAATTTATAAATATTAAACTCATTTTAACAGCACAGTCTTTACTAGGGCCATTCTGGGTTCATCTGACAACATTCATGAATACTTGGTAAGTGTCAAAGGACCTATTAATTGAGTAGACTGCCTAGATGCTTTTTGTACTAAAGAACTTCTATTAAGTGATAAATCCCCCAAAAGGTATGGTCCTACTCGCTGAGTGGCAAACCAGAAACCAGGGACTTGTTTGGCACCCAGATCAATTCCCATAACCCAGAGGTCTCTGGTTCGAGCCTGAACTCTCATTATCTTAACAGTGCATTTTTTTCTTTTAACATTGTACCGGGGTTTGATTGCCATATGGTAAACTGAAGTTTAACGATCCAAAAATAGCAACCAAGATTAAATGATATGTCCTGCAGAGTACAAGATTAGCTATGGTTGCAGTGCTCTCAAACCTTCACATTTTATTTCAGTTTTTTGTTTTTGTTTTGTGTGCATAGTATTTAGTTTAATCCTGACAGTCCCATTTCTTGATTACCACTTAAAGAAATCCTGGTTTCTCCATATAGATTTCAAAATTTTTAATTTATACTGATGTTCCTCTGTTGGCTGTAGATTGCATTTTTGGGCCAAAGGATGATAATTTACATCATGACAACTTGGAGCTTCACAGAATTAAAAGACTTGGCTTTCCCATTCTCCTGTTTCCCGATATCATGAATTCCTTACAAGTAATTCCTCGAATTCTTCCAAACTTTTGGGACTAAATGGATTCACATTAGAGAACGTATTTTAAATGATGGTGGGTTTTACTCAGTCTGGGACTAGCAATTGCAATACGATCTTCCTTTAGAGAATACGAGCTTTCTTTCTTTTCTTACTGTCATATCCACTGTACAATGGATATCTATGGGGGAAGGGGGAGGGCTTGTTTCACACATTTGGGAATATCCGGATTATGTTTTGAAAATGTTTCTTCTGTATCCACTATTCTAAACAAGGATATTCCATTCCATAATGGGAGCTTCTGAATTCCTTCCCCTGACATCACTGGATCTTGTCTTTATGGCATCTATATGGAGCTTTCTACCATTACGATCCATGGTACAATATACAGTCATCCAAATCTTTACTGTACAAGGCCTCACATTGTGACAGTGTAATGATCTTAGGTGTCTTTTGGATGGAATCCTGGAGGGTGGCACCACTGATGGTGATTTGTTCTTGTTTTATTCAATTTTTGAAAACTTTAAACTGAGACAAAAACAACAAATGACACAAGACCTTTGACCTCTGTGGTTAAGTTCCATTTTCTATATTGGGCTAAGATCTTCTCATCTGACTTGCCATCCTGAAGAAACAAGCTAACAGTCACACAGACACTGTGGAAAGGTTGTTTAAGTGTCCTCATTATCCTTACTTCTTTAAAGAATACAATCCATGTGCATGTAGTTACACTGTACCGTTCTGCAAATCCATGAATATTTTTCTTTAGGATGAAATTATTGAGGTTTAAACCTACTGAAGGTGGGGAACTGTACCTCTGAAGGGTTTAAACTTGTTCTCCAGGTCGAAGTCCTGCCTGCCCAGCCGCGCGAGGTCTATCCGGAGGTCAGGGCAGATGGCGTACTCCTCCAGGGTCTTGCTAATCTGATATATCTTGTCTGTCACCGACTCAGGTGATGGGCCTGCCAGGCAAGAACCAGAAGAAGAGAAAAGACAATATATAATCCTGCTTTTAGAAGACCAATCCACGTCAGGCATCACTTCTTAACTGCTGTCCTCATTTACATGAAATCACTGATAGAAAACATGTCCACAAGGCACTGCCTATATGGTGGGCTACACTAGTGTTGGCTGACTGAAATTAAATGCAAAGGTACAGCAATGAGAATAATTATAGCAATATAAACACTGTTGTAACGATATCTTTCTTCAACACCAACTAAAATAACAGTAATTCAATGGAGCAGCTGTGTTTACGTTTGACTGCTCTACATCAATATTTTACATACAAAATACCAGTTTTTAAATTTGGGTTCATGTTCATGCATCATTTATAAACTGAAACTGTGATAATATGTGCCAAACATGCCACAGAAATACTGGAAGTATTGCAGATGACTAAAGCAACATACAACATAAAGTAATACAACATGAAACAGCACTGCTTTAATTCGGATTCAAGTCTAAATCTTGTCAAAAAACATCCATGTTTTAAAACAAATTTCATGTCTATCTTGTACTCTGCACGCTGTGTGATTTTATACAGAATGCCGTGACGTTATTGTGAGAAATGCTTACTTTGGTAAAACTGCTTTTAAGACTTTTAAAGTCTTTACAATGTCTGGCAGTGCCACCTCAACTTTTAAGTTAGTGCCAACATGCCTTCCTTTACAATATCCAGGTTCTTTATTAAGCTTGGGAGGGACAATTTCACAGTACACTGTAATACACATAACTGAGCCATATTTGCAGAAACTGCTGAAATCCTTTGGTGCTGAGGAATTTCTTGGAATTCTCTCGAGTACAATTCCCACTATACTACAACATTATAAATATTTTCAGCGGGAATAAGAGATGATTTCTTCCATTACACTTACAAGACCCCGACCCCTGATCAGCACAACCCCCAAGTCAGAAGTGACAAATAGACTGCTGAAGGCAACTCCCAGAGGACTCCAGCACTTTCAGTTAACAACACATAAAAGAAAATCAGCTTTGCTCTATTTATATGAGTGTAACATTGCTGAAATTCCAATCCATATTACCAAAGAGCTCAAATAGAACTTTACTAATGTTTTAGAGGTGAATGTGCAATGTCAGCGAGAGGAATAAACAATGTACAGCACAGGTGTTTATTCAACTCTAGAACAGCCGTGACATACTGATCAAGTGTGTCCTCAAGCTACTCCTCACTAAAGGCAGAAGGAAGTGGGGGTCAAATCCAGTTACTAAAACTATTTCCCTATCATCAGCAAGTCCAAAATAATTTCCCTCTTCCTTCATTTCTTCATATCACTAAATCCTAGAAATGCATTCACAAGTTACCTCAGGGCTGCCTGAAGTCAGCTTTGGGAACGCTCTTCGTGATTGGTTCTCACCGAATGTTTCTGTCTGAAATTTTTTGGTAGATATTTTGTTTGCACTCGCTCCTAATTGCACATTCTTTGGGCAGCGATAATCATCCTGAGAAAGTGATCAGTGTGATGGGACGAGGATCAAATGGATCTAATCCATCAAGGATCTGAGCCGCTTGTGCTTTCTAGATACATTACAAGAAAAAAACAGTTGACAAACAAGTGTGCTGTACAAAATCTTCGTCTGCAGACGAGAACCCACCTCCATTGGCCACGTTAAATTTTATCCCAAAATCTCCTCCAGGCCCTCCTGGGTTGCGACTCGCAGTGAGAATTATCCCTCCAATGGCCTTTATCTTTCGGATTATACACGATGCAGCTGGGGTCGACATGATCCCATTGTGTCCAATAACCAGACGACCAATCTGAAGAACAGCATTGCAAGCAAATAATTTGTTTGCATTAGATCTTGTATAAGGGATACACAATTCTAAGGGATACAGATAAACTCAACCTAGGGGACTGTTTCACACTCAGTAATGGAGCCAAGACATGAGGTCAAAATAGGAAATTTAAGGGGAATATATTAAGGGCAGAGAACTCTTTACTCAAAGAGTAAGTGAATGGGTTTCTGGAACAGGCTTCCCAGCCAGGTGGATGAGGCCCGAACTCTGGACGCTGTTGAGAAGTGATTGGATGAAATTTTAGATTCACTTGACTACCGAACTACCAGATTGTGGTCTAAGCTGGCACAAATTACCCCTACTCATTCGAAGACCATTCTTATGTTCTTAACTCAGTGTAAGTGCCATTCATTCACTGTGTCATACTCAAGTGCATGTCTAGTGCAAGTGCAATACTAAGTATGCACTAATCCAACAGATAGGATTGGTAACATTCGAAGTAGTATTTAATGATTTACATTTAAATCACCAGTTTTCGCTGGTATCTGCTCCCATTAAATGGCTTTTCTGCAGCAAACAGTTCACTTATCGCTTATTAATAGTTAATAAATGGTTGAAGTTATAACATGGCTCTCACTGTCCATATTGGATTTTTGGTAAATGTTAGTGGTTCTTCAATGTGTCAAAGGGCAAAAATGGCTTTTCATTACCTCAGGACTGTGTAATCAGTTAACCCATATAGGTAGGACAGACACGGAATGAGAGAGATTTGCTGTGTTGCAGCATTTTCAAGGTCATAAGCAGGTAACTGGAAAACGAAGCAAGATTTCATGTGAAGATGAAAAGCATAGGATGATCTGCATCATGGTGTCTTAGTATGATTATGACATTATTGACAAGAGTATAATGGAGCTTCAGTTTGAGAATATTATTGTAAATGTAAACAAATATTTTAAAATGAAAGTGAGTGGTTGTTTACATCAGCTCATTTTATTATTAACTTTCAAGGTGAATCTTAAAGTTATTACTGTAATAATAATAACGGTGAAGTGACTTTTGTCTATATTAACAGTGTTTTATGATGATGCTTATATTACATTTTTCATTGTTTTCATGTTTTTGTCTATATACATTTCTAACATTCTCGAACCATCACAGGTGCGGAATCTGTAATGTTCCTCTGTTTGCTCATTTACCAGGAATGTGCAAGATTCTCAACTGGGTTGCAGTCCATTTTTCATTTCAGCTGCATGAGTCATAAACTTTAGCAGGTTTCGTTCCTTTCTAATATTAGTATGTGCCTTACTTCATTCTCCCTTGCTTAGGCCAAGGGACTGAAACAGCTCCGCTTTTTTCAATTATTGAGTTTTATAGACCATTACCATCCAGAACCAAAGAAACCTTACTTCACAACCTCATACATCTGAAGACTTGACCATTACAACAGTGTTTTCTGCTCCTGGAAATCCTGATGTTATATACAGTACGTTGCCTGTACGTCTGTACACAAACATCGTGTGTGATTCTGGAGGGCTTCTGTCTGAATGTACAGTATCAGCAGTAGAGCTCTCATATGGGGCTCCAGAAACATTACAATGAGTGTAAAGTGTATTCCAGAGATCCTTGGATGATCGCACTTCTGGGTACTTCAGACGCACTGTTCTATCTTATTCAGAAGCATACAAGATAACCAACACCACTTGATGACGGTGGAAAACACACTGCTGGGCCTGGGAAAGGTTTGTGGTGCTTGTATTGTAGAATGTTTCTGACACAGGGCGAGTACAGAACATCAAATCATTGATGCCGTGCTTCTTCCAAGCATTTTCTAAAGAGAAAGATGCTGTAAGTGGTAAGTGGAAAAGATGTTTCCCACTGTTCACTTACAGTTGTCAAGGCAGTTAAAATAAAGACCATCTCATATGGTTTTAGACAGTCACTTCCATTACAAGCAGGTGGCCCCAAGAAGCAATTGGTGCCTGAATTCCCCGTTCTTTCTTCCCTATGTCAAATTCTGTATTACAATTCTGAATTCACACACAAGTGCACTTAGATGATTACTCATTTGTTAGAATTGTTTCTTTATTTAGTAAATAAACAAGATGCATTTCACTCTCATAAATATTGTGTTAATAACACTAGCTAAAATGTAATATGTTTGATGATAGAACATTCCTGATCCACATCATGGAAAGTTATTTATATGTTTCAAGACTACACAAATATTGATAATTGCGTTTACCAGAAGGTTTTCTCTGAGGTCTGTCTTTCAGAAAGCAACAATGAAACACAAAAAAAGTATGGAATGGTAATTAAACAAGCCTAGTTAATCTACTGTCCTGAATAAACACATTAAAAAATACTATTTTTTTAAAAAGTGTATTTTGTTCTGTGGTGTGTTTCAGAATGGAAATTAGAGCCTAGGAGAGGAAAGATACTGCAGGGGGAAGAAATAAACTTGTTATAATTCTATATCTTCATATTGTTATAATTCTATATCTTCATATGTGTTTTGCATATCACATTATTTTTAGATATTCAGACCTGATGAATAAAGCAGTTCAGCCACACAGCAGGGTGTGGCCAATAATAGTGTCCAGAAGAGCCATTTTCTCTGTAATACATGAGCTTCCTAAGAGCACCTCCAGCAGTAAAATGACCAGTAATGACACAATGATTTTATAAAGCTTACAGGTGCTGGATAGACACGAGCTGTAATTGTTTTAGCAATTTTCTTACCAAATTAGACATTTACAGAACATGATTAGGTGTAACCATATCTTGAGAGACTGGCTACAAGCTGTTGTATATGGGATAGAAGTGGAAGAGACTAAGACAAACCGAAGGACTGTGCAACAGTTTTTTATGTGATAAGCATAAAATACATTAAAAACATATTTGCATTTTTAGAATTATGCACTAGACAAAAGTGCCTATCCTCAAGTAATAGCAACCTTGTGATTGCAATTAGGATTCATTGTGGTTAAAACTGCTGCCTCACAGCACTGGAGCCCTTTCTGGGGTGCTGTCTGTGTGGATTTTGCATGTGGGTTTCCTCCAGGTACTCCTGTTTCCTTCCACAGTTCAGAGACATGCTGGTATGTTAGCTGGATTCTGTAAAACCAGCCCTGGTGTGCAAGGGTACATGTCTGTGTCTCTTGCTCCCTGCTATGGACTAGCATCCTGTCCAGGCTGTATCCTGCCCTGTGCACAGTGATTCCCAGGATAGCCTCCGGCCCACTGTGACCCTGAACTGGACAAGTGGTTACTAAAAGTGATGGTGAATAATAGTTATTTTTTTATAATGATGTATTTTTGCTTTACATCTGAGGAATCAGAAGTAAATCTGATCTGTCATCTCCATTATAACAGTAATGACAGATAACAGCGCTTCTGCAACACCACTCCACAGTACTACACTTTTACCACATTATACTGTGGTAAACACCTAGGTTATTAAGTAGGATACTTCCTAGACTTTCCAACATTTGGTCTCCGCAGGTCTGGGTCAGGACTGATGTTGTGACAAGTGATACGAGATTGATGATCACATTTGGACACCAGGGAACAAAAGTCCAGACGAGACCAATCACCCATGTTTTGCCACTGTGGTACCTTTAGAGGATGTCTCAGGGCACGGGGCTATACCGATAGGCTGGATATCCTCTCATCCTCCAAGAGGGAGGTCTTGGTCAGTGCTGAGCCACAGAAACATTACCATACAGGGAAGGTCACAGGCTGTGCATACTTTATCAGAAGAGAGAGGACAGTGGTTTCCACTGAAATACATCGTATAGCTCTTGTTCAAACGGGTGTTAACAACTCAGCCTTCTGTTAGTGCGAGGATACTGAAGTACCGTCAAGTACTGTCCAACAGAGCACAAGCTACAAGATTCTGTTTGGAGTCTTTTGTGATGATTTAAGACGTTACAGTAGTTGAATTACGCGTATCATACGAACATCAAAATCACAAATTAACTGTCCATTCATGTGTTTTCAATCATGATAAATCATTTTTTAACCGCCTGCTCCTGATGAGGATCGTAGACCAGTAGACCAGACTCCCCTTTCCCCATCAACAGTCTCCAATAATAAAATAATTGTATTATTGGAATATTATATAAAATGTGAGCATAGAAACGAATACATTAAACGCATTTCTCCAGCTTCTGTCGTTTTCGATAATGCTAAAGTGAAAAAAAAAACTTTGAGTGCGTATAAATTTAACCCTTTCGGGGCGACACAGATTAGTCTATGTCCATTTTGTGAAAAAGCCGGTCCTGTACTGCAACAAAGTTCACCTTACCCCGTTGGCAGCAGCCATTTGGACGATAACCTCCGTGGCCGTCCTGCTGAAGTATCGGCCATCGCCGCCTACTACCATTGTGCACCCCTGGCGGTCCCTGAGGTCGATGGACGAGAGGACGCTCTGGATGAAATTCTGCAAGTAGTTCCTTTTGCTTTCGAAGACCACCGTCTTCTTCCTCAGCCCGTTAGTCCCCGGTCTCTGGTCGTCATACGGGACTGTCTGGACAGTGACCACAGGAATAGGGCTTACCTCCATTGTCTTTCGAATCCTACTTCTGCTTTACTTGCGAGTTTGCGTTGGCAGTATAAATACGATGCAGAATGATGCAAATCAGACACTGATAAATACAATACGGTCTAAAATGTTGAAAGCATTCAACAGCACTGTTTCCTTAATATTAAAAAAAACTCGCGTTAACCTGCAGCCCCTGTTTCTTTGAGGCAGTAGGTCTACTTGAAAACCTTGAAGATAGCTGGATGATATTTTTATACAGACTCTTGTGGATTCCACTGTTTTGTAAAACCGGTTTGAAGTTAAGGTAACCCCTTTTTGGTGTCCGTTTTTGTTGTTGTTGTTGAAGTTGTTGTTGTTGTTGTTGTTGAAACCGCGGTAAATCTAATTTCGAAAAATAAGCATACAGTAGTATAACTTATTGTTATTCCGAGAAGCTCGCAAACCACGGCTTCGTTTGACAACTCCCCCTTTTTCAAACAAGTCTTTCAACAAGGACAGCGGGCTGCCAAAAATTCGGGGAGGGCCAAAAACCTTTGCGATCAGCTGTGACGGGAGCCTAAAATAGCCCACGGAGAGAGGAGAGAATTGTCTTCTGCCAGTGTTGTAACTGGATGCTTTTTGTGTGCAGCGACACTTGTTGCGGAGAGTCAAATGCTGTCTGGATGAACAGAGAGAAACGCGCGTCCGCTTCGCGATCTTACAAGAAGTCAAAACAGTGTGATGTGAGGTGACATTAGACTTCACAGAAACCTGGTGCCGCACAAGCAATTGCCTTATATGTTATTCGTGTTCTCCCGCTGATGCCAGATATAGGTCTTCGCTGTTGTAGTGGCAGACTTAATACATCTTGGAAACACAACAATACTATTACATTATTTGAGAGATGTTGAAACTTATCTTACGAAATCGCTGCAAAAGATTATTTTTAATGGGTTCGTAAGTAACATTTCTCAGCCTGGTCAAAGAGAGGGTCGTAAGAGAATGAGTGAATCGTGTACAGTAGCTTTGAAATGAGCTATGGTTTGTAAATGTTGGGGTAAATCAAACGATCAACCTTTTAATTGTTATAGCGCCCTTTGCCACAGATTACCAGAGAGTGCTTAACAGCATTATGTTAAAACACAGTAAAAAAAAAACATTTAATATCCGTTGGGAAACATGAAAAATGTTGACAATTCATTCTGAAGCACAGATGTGAAATGAGTGGGAAGATGCCGATGAAATTCCGAAATCATACTGCTAAAATGATTTTTTTTTGACAGTGTTTTGTGTTTATCCTGGATTAGTGTATATAAAGAAATAATGACACAATATACCTACTGCACGCAGATAAGGTTCATTTTACTGCACAAACCAATAACAATGCAGTTGTTTTTATACTTCTCACAACCATGTGAAGAGATATGATTGTTTTACTGTAGTAATTTTGGAAACGGGGTGTAATTATATATTCCTTGTGCCGCCCTTAAGTGGTGGCACAGAGGACCATAAACCGTACACAACACTGAAAGGTATATAGTATGCTCCAGTTTGCTTGTATACTATTAGATCTAAATTGAGCATCCATCGACGCGGTTGAGCATACTGTAGTGTTAGAGGACCGATATCCCCATCTTGCGGCCTTAAAGTATTAATGCAGGTTTTATTTCATATTGAAGAGTCTTAGCGATGTGGAGTGTGCTTTGCTTGTTTGGAAGATAGGCTGACATTTAATTATGCTTAAATCTTTTAACGCTATACCGTGGCACATAGAACTATGAAATACAAAATAAATGTTGTAATTTGTGTCGCATTGTGTAGTGCGCTGCAGAAGTATTCGGACCCTTGCACGGTTTCCCTGTTGTGGAACAGGTATTTTTTTATTTCGTGCTGAAAGGAAAAGAAAAAAAGACACAGCATTTCGGCTGTGGAGCCGCCTTCTGGTTCCGTTTCCCCATTTTTTAAAGCTTACACAGTCATGTCTACTCCAAAAAATCTAAGCAAAGAAAATAAATATTTAACATGAAAGGAAATGGAAAAAGCATGATAGCATAAGTATCCAAAGCTTTTCTGTGGCCAACATAGCTTAATTTATGTGCACAGAAGTACCCTAATGAGCCACACAGTTAGTTGAATGGTCTATGTGCAATAATAGTCATGTCAGTCCATCGCAGGGCAATAACAGTGGTTCCCATGATTTATCTCATTATGGTGCCAATTGCAAAGCGGCGTACTAGTTCGTAACAAGTGCGCCAATTTAAGACCAAGTGCAACGAACTTGGCTGCTGAAATTAGTCCGTGGATCCGCACTCAAACCTGTTCTGTGTTGCAACGAACTCGAAGGCACAGCTGCTACCCAGAAGTTACTGAATTAGGGCACCAACTTAAACCACCTCTTCTCAAGGTTTGAGCAACTTTATCGCGTACTAAGCGGAACACTGGATCACCTTTGAACGTTTCCGAATATAGTGGAAATAAGTAATAAGTCTCTAAGCAATGAATTGTATGTACATTTTATGTAATCAATTTTATACATTAAAATAGTTTATTAACACACGTTTGTTAATAAAGTGGAATCTATTAATAATGTTTTCATTAGTAGCTGTAGGTAGAGCCTTTAGTATACGACAGTGAATTTTCAGGTATCCTGAAGAGAACTGAAATTAAGGAAATACGTATTTAAACCTCTACGATCACATCTGGGTGTCAAAGGGACATTTTTGTTGTCTTTCATTGGGATTGGACCCTACACCTGGGGGCACCGTGGGGGTACGGTGACGAAGTTGTGTAGGTAAATGTTAGGGCACGTTAAGAGAGAAAAAAAAACCTCGTATCAGCATCTTTTAAAAAGTGATTTATCCATGACAGTTCTTCAGAACACCGGCCTTTCTCTGTCCTGTGGCAGTGGTCCAGTAAAACAGTGGTGAAACAGCCGGGATGTGTCGAATGTCGTGGAAACGGATCAGGTGGTTCGTCCCAGGTTGTGTAGGACCTCGCATGCCACAGTGACAGTACTGTCTCTTAATGCACTGGTAAGCAGACCAAGCAAAACTCTGTTATAAAATCCCAATGGCTTACTAGGTCAGAGAAACACGGACAACAAAAAATGGACTAAATAGATCTGTAACAGGAGTTTACCTTTTGAGAGCTACACATTTTTTACATGTAAATGAAATCTTCTGCCATGTATTATCACCTTCTATTGGTATTTTTGTTGAAAAAAAAATTCTTGGTCATTAGTAGGTGCTTTTTGAT